GATTCAGAAAAGAAAGGGGCACATTGCAAACATATGTGGGTTAAAAGAGCACACCAAAGAATTCCAGAAGAAAATAAGTATGTGCTTTATAGATTATAGTAAAGCCTTTGACTGCATAGATCATGGAAAATTATGGAATGGTCTCAAAGAAATGGAAGTCCCACTACATTTGATAATCTTGAGGAGAAACCTGTACTTGGGACAAGAGGCTACTGTTAGAATAAAAATATGGAGAAACAGAGTGGTTCCCAATCAGCAAAGGGGTAAGACTATCACCCTACTTGGGGCCTTTGCAAACTGCCAGAAATAGTGTAAATTGAGTCCACTTTAAGGGTTAGGGATAGTGCTAGGGAGTCATGGGAATTGTTTTTTTCCCCTGAGACATTGAGTCTTCTCTGTCAGAGAGCTCTGGTGCCACAATAAAGTACAGTTCCCATGATCCCCTAACCCTAACCCTTAAAGTGGACTCAATTTGCACTATTTCTAGCAGTCTGCAAAGGCCCGTGGTCAACATGTATGCAGAAAACATTAGATTCAGAGGAATGTGGAGTGAGGATATCAACAATCTAAAATATGCAGATAACCCTATACTGCTAGCAGAAAATAAAGACTTGGAAGAATTACTAAGGAAATTCAAAGAGGAAAGTGCTAATGCAGGATTAATGTTCAACATTGAGAAAACAAACAGTGACCACATAAAATTTACTTACATTCAATTTAGATGGCATAGAAACAACAAAAGAGTTCCCCTACCTTAGATCGAACCTTGATTAGAATGGCAATTTCAGTCAAGAAATCAGAAGAAGAGTAGAAATGGGAAGGGCAGCTATGAAAGAATTAGACAAGATCCTAAAGTGCAAAGACATAAAACTGAACACTAAGGTAAGGATAGTCCAAACTGTTGTATTCTCCATCACCATATACGGATGCAAGAGCTGGACAGTGCAGAATGCTGGCAGGAGGAGAATCAATTCATTTGAGATGTGGTGCTGGAGAAGAGTGCTGAGGATACTAAGGACGGCCAAAAAGGCAAACAAATAGGTCTAGAACAGATCAGGCCTGAACTCTCACTGGAAGCCAAAATGACCAAATTGAGACGGTCATACGTTGGACATATCATGAGAAGGCATGACTCATTAGAAAAGCCAATAATGCTAGGAAAGGTGGAGGGCAGTAGAAAGAGACGAAGACCGCACACCAAATGGCTAGACTCGATTAGGGAGGTCACAGGCCTGAGCCTGCAGGACCTGAGCATAGCATTTGAGGACAGACAGAGGGTCTTGGAGATGTCTTACTCATGAGTCAAAGTTGATTTGAAGGCAGTTAATGACCAATATTGTAAGTCTACAGCTCCCATCAGACCTAGCCAATGTAATCTTATGTTGAGAGATTATGGAAAATACAGTACAAAGCTGTCTGGAGAAACACCCTTGAGATGCCTACCCTTGATAAAAGACAGATCCCTTGTGAGAACTGAGTAAACAATGCATATATTTCTCTTTACAGACAGTATGTAAATCCCAATGCATATGGGAATACAACCTAATCAAAGTGAAACACTTCTGTCTCCCATTAGTTTAAATAGGAAAGATTTATGCACATGCTTAACCTTATATTGGCATTAGCAGGATTTTAGAGGTCTTTAGCTGGATGTTTTCATTAATATTTTGAATAAAAGGTACAGCAATTAAGACAACTTGAGTTTGGAATAATATCCATATTCTATACCCATATTCTACTTACCCCTGTATTCTTTGGTGTGTAAAATGTGCCTTCTCTATTCTGTAAAAGAAGTAAAGGAGATACTGTTATCTTGCTTAACATGTAACAAAGCTAGTGGGTCATAAAGTCATAGGAATATATGATTGGAAGGAGACACATGGGCCAAGTAGTCCAACTATCTGCTAAATGCAGGTTCTCTAGCTAAAGCATCCCAAGCAGGTAGTTGTGCAACTTCTTTTTGAAGACATGCAGAGAAGACGACCCCAGCACCTTTCTAGGCAATTGATTTTAATTGCTGAACCACTCTTGCTGTCAATTAATGTTCAATTGAAATCTACTCTTCTGTAACTTCAAATCACTAGACTTGGTCCTGCCCTCTGGAGCAGCTAAGAACAGGACTATCCCTTCCTCTCTGTGATAGCCCTTGATGTATTTTAAGAATTCAATCATGTCACCCCTTGGTCTTCTCTGGTGAATATGTCCGGCTCCTACAATCTTTCCTCATGCCTTTTTTAAAATTTCTTTTCCATACTTCTTATCATCCTAGTTGCTCTTCTTTGAACAAATGAGGTGCCCAGAAACAAAAGATGAGGCCTGACCAGTTCCCTCAACTTGAAAATTATGTTTCTGTTAAGGCAGGTTAAGATAGCATTCACCTTCTTTTCTTGTTGCATCTCTGCTGGCTCAGGTTCAACTTTTAACAATAATCCCAAGATCTTTTTTCACAGGTAGTACTACAATAAAGAGGAAAATATTAACTTACTGGCAACATATTTAGAAGTACTTTGAGGTCAATCAGTATTGCTTCTAGGCAGTCCTGCTTGGTTATAGGCATTCCTCCTATAGTTGCTAAGATTAGTGCAGTAAAACAGAGGCTTGCTTCTTTGTTCATGATGGCAAAAGCTTGAGTCTCATTAGCTCTGGAAGTAGTTGGGGTGTATATATACCCTTAACCTTTTTTTTTTTAAGTGACATGTTAAAAGTCTAACACTTTTTTTTTCATATTCTGAGTCTTTTTTCCTTTCACTGATGACACTTTGGAATTTTTTTTTTTGAAGGGATGCATATGAAAGGTATTCTGGTGAAAGAAACCTGAAGAGACTTTGTGCATTACCTATGTATACTTTCCTTAAAACTTTTTCCCCCACCTTCTCCATTTGTAAAGATTGGGTCAAGCACTCCAGCGCTGATGCGTCCACATGTTAATCATTGTGGGTATGTGTGGGTGGGGTGGGGGCATAACCCAGTGATAAAGTAGCTCTGTATGTTCATTTATATACTACCTGGGAGCATTAATGTTCTTTACAAAAGGATTTTAAATTATAATTTAAATAGGCCAAATTCAGATGATGAAAGCAGGTTGTTTTTTGTTTTTTTTAAATGAGAATGTTGGAACATAACAGGAAGCAATATCGCTTCCTAAGCAAAAGTGTGTGTGTGGTTTTGAGGGTTTCTTTTAAAAA